TACCAGGGATCAAACTCGGGATCTTGCGCTTGTGAGGCAGGCAGTGGAACCGCTGAGCTAAATCTCCAGCCCCATTTTCACTTGCTTAAGTGGCCCCTCTGAAGTGAATGTCAGTCTTGCATCCTGGGCTTCTTCTGACCTCCTCAGGAGGCTTCAGTGTATACAAAGGGGCTTATAAATCCCTTCTCACCTGATCGCCCCGGCCTGGTGGGGCCATCACCAGGAGCTGCTGAATGGTCGGACTTCAGTTAGTGGCTTTTCCCTTCCCTAATCATGTCTCTTTCCTGCATCTTCTGAAAGCAGTTGATTTTCTTATTTGGTGGGTCTCAAACTTCTCTGTCAAATCTCCTTGTCTGTGTGAGACTTTCACAATGGAGAGAAAAAAGTGGAGTTGGCGATCAAGTGTTTTTTGGGCACAGCCCTCAGTTTTCACTGTAACTGAAGAAGGAGCCTAACACTCTCAATTGCGTTGGCATCTGAGCTGCTGGGTGGTGGAGAATGATGAGTACATGACTGTTTGCAATTGCCCATGAACTTCCTTAAATGCTCAGAGACGGGACTATTGTTCATGTTGTCAGCCTTGTTGCCCAGGAACAAAGCCACACTTAGTAATGGTAGGTGTATTAGTCATTGTCGTGTTACTATAGTAAAATACCTGAGGCAGTTTAACTTACTGAGAGAAAGGTTTGTTTTTGCTCACACTTACGAAGACTCAAGTCCAAAATTAGGCAGCCTCATGGCTTTGGGCCTTTGGTAAAGGAACCAGAGGTACTGGTGCGTAACATGTGTATGACCAGGTGCTCATATCTCCCTGCCAGGAATCAGAGAGAGAAAGAGAGACAGAGACAGAGAGGCTGGGATCCTCCAGTGACCATTGGATCTCATCTTTAAAGGTCCACAGCACCTCCTAATAGCACGGCCTTGGTGGTTACACCTTTGGAGAACAGTCAGCATCCAGACTATAGCATTGAGGGTAACTCCAGCTTTTTCTTTTCTCTCCAGGAATAAAGAAATTGTCAAGTTCCTGCTAAACCAAGGGGCTGATGTCACTCTTCGTGCAAAAAATGGCTACACAGCCTTTGACTTAGTGATGCTGCTGAATGATCCTGGTGGGTTATTTCAAGCAAAAGGTTATAAAATCTATGCAGTCATTCTCATCTGGGAGTCAGGATAGCCACTGCCTCTGTGAGCCTTGATCGAACCCTTGTTCATGCATGGGAAGCCAGTCTAGTGTGCAGGGCCCAAGGTGTGGCCTTGGAACAGGCACTTCCCTCCCTACTGCCTCTCAGCTTTCTTCCAGCACCCAACTTTTCAGGGTCTCCAAGGAGGGCAAACAAGGACAGGTCTGCTTTGCAGCTCCTCGAGTCCTAGGGCACTCTCTGTCTTCCAGTGACTTTAAGGAAATGTAAAGCCTCTGTGGCAATTTGAGATGGAGCCGTGTGGAGGGGCTGTGTGGAGCCTCGCTAGGACACTGGCATTATTAGCTTTTCTTGGTTCACTGCTTTCCTCTGACCCTTGCCTGCTGTGACGGCCCCTCTGCCGGACCCAGGGGCTTCCAGTTAGGGATAAGGTCTCTGATATGTCACCTCTCTTTTTACCCTGGAGTTTCAACAGAGAGGGAGGAAAGCTCAGTAACCCTTCTGAGTCTCACGACTGGGAGTCCTGCGCCAAGAGCCCACCTGCCAACGGCGGGGACAGAAGTCTTTGCCTCTGTAGTCCGTAGTGGGGTCACCCTAGCTGCTGCTCTTAGCTGAGGGGGTGGCAGGCAGGCCCCATCCTGTCCCTTTCTGCAGGCGCTTACATGGCACAGCTGCACAAGTGGTTCTATTCCATCCTCAGAGAGGCCTAAGGAAGGCGGGATTTCATATCTCATAGAGATCTGGCAGCCAAGCCCAGTGGGAGAGGTGCCTTTGCCTGCTCGGTAGGTTGAAGCCCCTCCCAGGATAGGAGTTTGAGATGTTCAGCCCACATACGCTTTGACCAGTTGTCTCTTCCCGTAGCCTCTTTTCTCTGCCTCCCCTTTCCTTCCCAGGGCCCCTAGTAGATATTTTTTTCCTGGTGGGGTTTTAAATGTAATTTTTGTCTGAAATTTTCCAAGAAACATTACTGCTTGTCTTAGTCACTTTCCTTGTTACTGGAACAAAATACTCAGTTCTCACCACTTAAGGAAGGAGAGGGGGCTCACATTTCAGTCCATAGTTAGTAGGATCTAAGGCAGAACAGTGTGCAGAGGAGCATGGTAGAGAGGAGCTGCTCTTATCCTGCTGGCAGGGAAGCAGAGTCAAAGTAGGAGCCCAGAAGAGGGTAGACCCTTTCAGGCCACACCCCTAGTGACTCACCTCTTCTGAACAAATCCCACCTCCTGACAGCAAGTCCACCATACTGCCTCATGTCCAGTCACCTTCTAGAAGCCCTGCCTTGTGATCTCATGAGGCTGTTTGTGGACATCGTGATATAAACATAATGCTGCTATTGAACAGAGTGCCTGTTTTTTTTTTTTTTTTTT